TTTACTTAAGCATGTATATAGATTTTATGAAGATTTTAAATATATAAAGCGTGGACAATAGAACTTARTTTTAGTCACCTAGCCTTAGATTCACCAGCGAGCCGAAGGTCCTGGCAGCCAGTGCTCCTTTTTTTTCGTGTAAATAAAATAATTGTATTATTTGTTTTTTTTTTCACATTTATAAATAAAATAAGTAAATAAGTTCATACTTCTGCATTACATACCACGTTTACAAAAACACAAATAGCAATAATAATATAAACACAAATAACAACAACCACAAAAATTTCAAATTTGTTGCAAATTATAATTACACATTAGACTCAAAATATTCAAACTAGTATTTGTTATAAGGCTTGAGCCCACTGTGGGTATTATATGCAAGGCAAATGTGGACTTGGTTTATACTGACCCAAAAATATTTCAATTTACAACTTTTCTCATCTTTTTTTATGTAATTCTTTTCCCCCACCAAACTGGTCTCCACAGTTATATTTAGTAATATTTTTTCGCTCTTAACCTATAAGTACATAATGACATATTCTTTGTTGGCAGCTGTTGCACATATTTATTTCCATTAATTATTATTTTGATATTTCCATTTAATTTTTATTTTACAATTTAATGTTAGAGTATTATTTTATCTTAATTTGTTAAATTATGGCAGTCTTTTGGTATTTCTAATAAAACTTAAACTTATTTTTTTATATTTATAATGAAATTTAATAAACCAAATATGTACCATTTTAGTCGACCACTTTTCGCCATTTCTCCAATAGAGGCGTTATTGCATGAGTATAAAACTTTTCTGGTTTCTCGGCGAAAAACTGCGACAAGTAATTTCCACAGGCTTCTCTTAAAGCCAACATTATGGCCCTTTCTGTTGATCAGTTCTGGCCATTTTTTCAATTGCTTGCTATAATCTCATCAGTTGTAAAATATAGAATCAAACGTTCGACCAGGCTGGAGCAGCTCACAGTGGATGATTCCTTTCCAATCCCAACAAACACTCAGCATAACCTTTCAAGGCTTCAATTCTCGACTTTAGGATCATTTTTTGAGCTTCATTACGCTTGGACCATGATCTTTTTCGCACATTACATCCATTGTTCGTCTCCTATTACCTTTCGCTTCAGAAATGCTTTGATTTCATTTCGTTTCAGCAGAGAAATGCAGATGTTAATTCGGTCCATTACATAACACAATTCATGTGGTACCCAGACATGGAGCTTCTTTTTGTAGCCAGCCTTTTTTAAATGGTTCACAGCCGTTTGAAGAGAAATGGTAAGTTGCTTAGCGTTGTCATGGCTGCTTATGTGACGGTCTGGTCAATATTTTCCTTAATTTCATGGACTTTTTCAACAATAGATCGACCAGAGCGAGGTGCATCTTTCACATCGAAATTTCCAAAACGGAAGCGAGCGCACCATTGTTGGCTACATGAACTGATACAGCATTGTCCTCGTAAACTTCACACATTTCATTGGTGGCTTGCGTGGCATTCTTCTTCTTCATTATTTTCGCTCATTTTTGAACAGCTGCAACTTTTTTTCATCTTCCCCGAATGTAATTTATTTGGTTTAAAGAAGCTTAAAATCTCAGTTTTCCAACACTATAAGATATGACACAATGTAATTGGCAGCACTGGCCGCAATCTATAGACAATCATTGACAAAATACGAAATGACTTTTTCGACTACCCTAATTATCATTTATTATTTGTGTTTTTGTTTTTTGTATTTAAAAGTTTTTTAGTTGTAAATGTTCAATAGTTCTTGTTATTATTAAATCTGTTTTATTTATCATCTTTTATTTCATAATTAATATATTGCTTTTATTAATTGAGGGGGTATTCTACACTAGAARTCTAATTTTGGGCAGTTTTATTATTAATTTTTTTATAGTTTTTTTTTATTGATATCTTAAGAATACAGAAAAAAAATTAAAATAATTAGAGAAGGGGAGAGACAGGTGTAAAAAAAAAATGGCGCACCCTGGTGGCATTGATTCTGACTCTCCCGGTGGTCTGAGAAAAAAAATCAAAAGAAATATTAATCAATAAGGATGCTGTTATAGTCCCTACCTCAGGGAACACGAATTTTTTTTTTTTGTTTTGAAAAATGGCGACTGCCTGAAAAAAAAATAATTTTTTACGCTTTTTTTTTTGAAATCCTTGATTTTTTTTTTTA